GCAGATGTTAATAAAAAAGAGAACGATGGAAGTACACCTCTTCACTGGGCTGCTGAGCATGGTAATTTTTAATATTTATGTTCGGAAAGAAGATCCGAAGAATCTTCATTCATTGATCTGAATCCGAACAATCTTTTGATTTTGACCTATTTACCACCATTTTTTCGGGGCAAACCAATGCACCCGTATTTTCAAAATCAAGAAATCGAGTAAAATCTATTAAATGTTTTACGATGTTTATGCATAAACATGACCAGTTATGTATCGGTGTGCGTGAACCGCTGTTTAACATAGCAGCAGTGAGAACGGAGATGTGTTGAATACACGCGCTCGCCGCTAGTCTACGATGAAATTTATCGTCATGATAGAGCCTTATCGTACTCTTTCGCTTGGGTGACTATCAAGAAAATATGATATTAATATTATTTGAGAAATGAATGAAAATGGAAATTACTGTAACAATATTTTTCTTAGCTGCAGTAGGTGATGTTTTTAGCCAGCGACAGTTTTTTTATAGTGGGTGCTCGAGTTTTCATTGAAAATTCCACCCATTCGCCTATCTATGCATTTTTCGCCGCTCTGTGAAGTTAATTGAAGTTGTAAATTGTGTGACCGCTCAACGTGTGTTGTATGTATGACCACTAGAGGCAGGTTGAATGTTGTCGTCAGTATGGATTTCATTGCCACGTGTAAACTCTATATAAAAAAAATTATGTTTCACTCAAAAACAAACATGTTCTTTGTCGCAACGGTTCAATTTTTTTCATTTATTCATTACCTTTCAGGTCATATCACTGTCGTTGAACTTCTCTGCGAAAATGGAGCTGATATTCACGCTGGAAACCACGATGGACACACATCTCTTCATGCAGCTGAAGTGAATGGTAATTTTGAATATTTATGTTTGAAAAGAACATGATTTGATTGATCTCATTGATCTATTGTTTTCCAGGTCACCAAAAGGTAGCTAAATTTCTCCGTGATACGAGTGCACATATGTGATGTATCTAAAATATCAAATGATTTCATTGTATTCCTGTAACATCGACCCTTGATTACAAGCAACCATCTATGCCTAGCAACTGGGTCGAATATTGAAAGTAGGATAAGTCGATAATTCGTTTGTGTTCCGACTGCTAACACATCTTTGTATTTTTTGAAAGGCCACTTAAATACTATCTCAAATAGAATGAAAATAAAAATAAAAACCATACATTATGGTGCCTTAATTTTTTAGCTTTTGAATTAAGATATTTGTGTCACTATTTAAGTTTTTCCCCAACATTATGAAACATAAGTCCAAAATTTCTAGACAAAGCCATATTACTGTGAATTCTATTTAAAAGTGGAGATCATAATCCTAGGGGCAATTCACATTCGCGAATGTCATTGCCATTCGCAGAATAAGAGGCATTCGTGCCTGTTTCGCCATGTATTTGGATTGCCGCGCGATCATTCGCGCGACGCTCCATAGTGAATGTATTAACACATTCGCACAAGCATTCGTAGCCATTCGCGAATGGCTACGAATACTTGTGTTCACTCAAACCTCAGTAGCGATTGAGCGCTAAAAACGCCATAAGCAATGAGTTCGCGTGTGTTTCAGATATTAGAAAAGAAATTGGCCGAAAAACTAGCGGCAAATTTAGAAAAAATCATAATAAGTACTGGATTTGAATGCGAAACTGCTCTGTTATCCATTGATTCTAAAAGCATTAGCGATATAGAAGAATTTATAAACGAACATAAATTTTATTTGAAAGATACGGCATACGAATATTCTCTGGCAAATAATTCATTAATTTTGTCGATACCAAAAGTCTTGAATCGCACCATAAATAAAAAACAAAACAAAATCAGTGGAAAACAGTATTTTCAAACGAAGTATTTTTGAGTTTTTTCAAATTTTCGTTCACAAATTCTTCAATATCGTTGATAATTTCACGGTCAATCAGTGTTGGGTAAAGATAAAGATATTGAATAAGATACAGATAAGATAACAGATAAGATGATATCTTTTATCTTATCTTAATCTTGCAGTAAAATATCTCATCTTATCTAGATACATATTTTTTCAACGGTATCTTTCAGTAATATCTAGATAATTTTCAAGATGATTATCTTAAAAAATATCTAGATACTTTTAAGATAGTATCTTATCTTCACACTTTTTTTAGATAAGATGCTGCATCTTATCTAGATAATTTTTTTCAAAATAAAAAAGAATCCCATCTTATCTAGATACAGAAATTGTTAACATTACCCAACACTGCGGTCAATTAACATAAGCGATGACTTTGTGTCAAACGCACTTATTTCCAGAAGCATTTTGATATCAACTGGAATTGTATTATTGGAAATTTCACTAATTCAGAAAAAAGTTTTTGTATGATATAATTTTTATATTAAATTAGCCTCAATAATGTTCTGTTTACCATTTTAACGACTTGAATTTGCACTGTTTTGACAAGTGTTTTGGAATGTCGTTCAGTTCTAGTTGCATTCGTGCATTCGCAATGCTACTCATTTGAATAGCACACTCATTTGCAGTGCCATTCGTAACCATTCGCGAACATTCGCGAATGCTTGTATCATATCTTGAGCATACACCTCGTACAAGAACCAAATTTTCTTGTGGCGCCATCTAGATGGCTTGTGTGGCGCAATGTATTTTAAATTGTTAGCTAAGTTTTTTCAGCTTAGTACAGAACCATTTTTGCCAAAGATACAAAAGCATGCTCGAGGTGTGGCTTGTATTTAAATACATTGAATGGTTCCATTCGCATTCGCACGCATTCGTAGCATTTGCAAATGTTTGTATCTAAATGCACATACTACCATTCGCCCATTCGCACAACTGGCACCATTCGCAGCTCGTGAATTGCCCCTAGTCATAATCAGTGTTTGGTTGAGATAACATCTGAAGATGAGATATTATCTTTTATCTTATCTAGATGAAAATTTCATTTCGCGGATTTATCTTATCTTTATCTTTTCTTCACATTTTTTAAATTATCTATTGTCAAATTTTAAATAAATTTTAAGATAAATGAAGGCTCCATAAGTAGATCAGGCGCAACTTTCGTGGGATACCATGGTGAACTCGTGTTGGGTGTATACTCTAAATTCGCCTTCGAATGTTAAAAATTTCATCCCCAACACACGATGCATTTTTCTCCCCTTAAAACTCAATTAGGCAAATAGGTTATATCCCACGAAAGTTGCGCCTGTTCTCATAGATTTCATTAGCACATAGTGTTTGCCTCCCATGTTGACCCAGTTTAAAGGGTAGAGGTCAAAAAGTGAAAAAAGTACAAAAACCACCCCAAAGTGGGTAAACCTCAATCCTCAATCTCAAATCAATTACATTTTTGGATTCCTCATGGAAAATTAGCTATACCTCCCGAACATCAGTTTTCAACAAAACCTCTCACTTTGGCTCAAATCATCTCTGAATGTGCAGTGGGAAAAATTGATATTTTTCCATACATTTATACGGATTTTTTGCATTTTTTCGGTTTTCCTCCCATAACTCGTACCCCATATGCGATGGAGCATAACTTTGTCCAGCACAGTTTTAGATAAAAGAATAAAAACAAAACTCGGTGCATCAACAATGATCCTACGATTCCAAAATCTTTGTGGGTGAAATCAGCGATTTAGGCAAAGGATACTAACATTCCGACGGTTAAAATATCTGAAAACGCATCGGAAATGATGTTCTTTGCACCATCAACAAAATGGGTCGAATCGGAAAAGGCGTTTGACTTGGATGCAGTCGAAAAGCTTCAGCAAATGGCCTGGAAGACATTCGATCAGTATGTAGAATTTGGGCATGGCATGTTTTATACGGTGAAAATTTCGAAAGACACGAAAAAATGGCAATCTAATTCTCAGTGCGATTGCCTCAGGCAATTTGCCTGGATTTTTTTAAACATTACATATGTAAACACGTTGTCGGCATCGCAATGCGAAGAAAAATTGCCGTTCTTCCAGCAACCGCAATTACGACACTCTTGTCACAAAACCGAAAAGCAGGTCGCCCAACAAAATCGACTAAAGCATTGTTAATGCAATAATGTGAGCCTGTCTTCAAAATGCTTTTCACTTTTCATTTTTTTTTTCATTTCATATTCATTTACCTTACTATCAATCACAGAACATACAAAACTTAGCGCTAACAAAATGCATGAAGCGAAATTAAACACAGTGTAAAAATTACCAGAAACCAAAAAAAAACAATAAATAATTCGAAAATACGATAAATGATCGAGTAGATCACAACTGAATTATTTGTTTTTATTTATTCCATTTCGAATTCGAGTTTTTTTCCAGTCAAATGCGTATGGATCAATCAAATGTAGGTAAGCTGTACGAGCCTCTCTGATCGTCGGTACAAATAGATAGGAAACGTCAAACAAGAACTACTAGGTGACTGGTTGGAGAAATAGAGAATCATGCACATAGTTTGCTGTAACAAGTATGCGTCTGTGTAAGTGCGTCTGTGTAATTCAAACGTTGAAAGTATGACACGTTGCACTTAGTCCCCAGGTGCCGCTGTATTGTTTACTATTTTCATGATCAGAAAGGCTGAGTTGTAGGAGTGAGTTTGGTTATTTGGGTATTTATCTCCCAAAATTGGAAAATGGATATCTGACAAAATTAGATTAAAAGTCGCAGGGTATTCAGCGATAACATTTTGCGGCAACTTTTATTGTGGATTCCTATTCGCATTGCGAGTAACCGCGGATATGCAACGGATTGTCGGCGTATACCTATTTTACCGCAAATTTTTCGTCGGGATGGAACTCTTACCTTTCTTATAAAGAAATTCAAGTTTTTTCTTACCTTTTCCAGTTTTTTTCTTCTTCATTTATAATTTAATACATCGGAAAGATTTTTTATGGAGGAAGAATCGTAGGTAAAATAATTTGTAAACGATCATAGGGTTATCTTCCAAAATTTAAGTATTGCATTTTTTTGAATGTGTTGGAGTCATGGGGCGGAGATAGCATGAAGTTTAAACTTGACGCGCTGTTTAGCTTCGATTTGAAATTGTAAATTATATTGATATGCCCTTTGAAGTTGCTTCAATTTATTTTGACATCTCAACAGCCGCTGTTTTGTTGGAGGTCAGCTATGATCTATTAATACCCGTTCCAAGTGTTCTTTCAGCTAAGAGTCAACAAAGCCAACTATGATTTTTTTAAATTAAATCAAATTTATTATCTTTTTATTCTGATGCAAGAAGCAAGTTTCATACGGGAGTTTCTTGTATCAGAATAAGCAAATAATTTTGTTAAACTGACACAGTGGTTCTTATACAGTTTATTTTGTCTAAGTTCTTTAAGATGGCAACTTGTCATGCAAATACAGCGTAATAATTTAGGTAAAATTGTTAAAAGACTTATCAACATTCTGGCCTTAAAACTATCTTTCGAGGAAAACATGTATCTACAGATGGGATTGTGAGTAGTGTATGTTTCATGGATTTTGTTATGAAAGAAATAAATGAGTATGTTTACTACGACTTAAAAGATGGTCAAAGGATATCAAGTTTTACAACAGTTCTGAAAATTGGGACTGAAGTTTTAGGGTTGTTGCAAATTGGTTGCGTCTTTCGTATAACTGATAAAAGTTGCTGTTTTTTTAAACATATGCATTTCATTTGCATCCTAATTCCTCTCCCGCTTAACCGTTTTCTTTGAATTCCCTAGAAAAGCGGAAAAAAAATTCTTGAGCAGAAAGCATGAGGTGGAAAGAGTGAAGTCATTTTCTCAAGTTGTGAATCTCAACGAAGCCTTTGGAAAACGATTCGAAAAATTTAGGACTGATTCTGAAAAGCGTCGAAAAATCAAACTAGTGAACTCAATGAAAATGAATGGGCTGATAGTTGGTCGTGTTTTCAAAAATGCATATGGTCTTTTTATTCAAGTTTTGGTTTGTAGCTAAATAAAAACAAAAACAACGGCAACCGTTGACTACTAGAACATTTAATCGTGTTTGTTCTGTGTTTGTGTGTGTTTTGCGGGTAGTCATGTGATGTGCCTACGCTAGTCTCGCTACTACGATTTCTTCAATAGGTAATGCGAGACATTCTCATAGGTAATAAATGTAATGACTGTGGCCGGTATGACTCGTAAAATATTTACGCCAAATCCTTTATAGAAACCGCGCCAACTTTCGTATCTACAACGGACAAAGAAAACGGAATCAGTTGTTTTAATAACTTGGTATTTCTTCTGGTTTTTTTTTTGTTTAATCTAAGACGAAAGGGGAGTAAAGACTACTAAAGAAGCGTAATCCCTGGCGCTGAATGGAGACAAAGTACAACAACAACAACAATGAAAGAAATATAGAAAAAAATTACTTTTTATTCGCGTAACGTATGGCCATTCGCCATCCAATTCGATCATCGCCACAACCAAGACACACAATTACATGTCAGGCTGGACAAGTCGTTTCGATTGTTTTTCTTTTTTTTCTTGTCTTGAGTTTGAAAATTCGTTCTTTTACACAACATAATGATGAAACAATATTTCGCTACTATTTATAAATTGAAAGCAAAAAAAAAACACTTGATATTGGCCATCTTATGCTAAATTGTGTCGCAGTTTTCACTTAAATACAAACAAATCGTCCATCTCCAATAATCTACGCATCAATTTGACAATAATTTATATTCATCTTGCTTCGTCTACGCTTACACCGTTTTCTAACATTTACAATTGTAGAATATTTGACAATTCACTGTTGCTTTTGTTTCTGCTTCGAATTTAAAGGATCTTCAAATATATACAAAATATTTCAAATTGATCTCGTGTGTTGTTGACATTACATTGACTGTTTTTAGCACTACATGAAATGTGCGGGTATTTGTTTTCTTCATTTTTATTCAAAGGAATATTTTTCCTGACTCTTTTTCGCATCAACTGTCCGAGCTAAGAATTTTAGGTAAATTGAATGAAAATTGAAAAAGAAATCCTATCTAAACGATAAATCAAATAGTGATTCGAGTGATTCAAACTAAGCTACTCATGTCCCAATAAATAATGGATTCTCAGTCAACTGTTCATTTTTGTGCGTACAACAAAATCGTTTTTTATCCTATTACAACATCGTTAATGCAATACACAGTTGGTTTTCGGGTTTCTATTTGTAGTTTGGTTGATGTCTTGTGTTTGAAAAGTAAGGAACGGGATAACGAACGGAAAAATAAATAATAGGAACAATGATTTTTGATTATTATTAAATGATTGCTGTGGATTGATCGATTGGACTGATTCTCTGTTGATCGAACCCAGAAAACGAAATGTTTTTGGTCGAATCAAGAAAAAAAAAAAGCTTCTGATTGAGCAAAAAAAATCAAAATGAAACGAAAAATCATTTTCTTCTTTGGATGTAAGAAACCGGAAAAAGCATTGAATTAAAAGCACAAAAATACAGCATAACAGTTTGATGTATTTCTCAGTGATTCCCCTACATGATTGGGATCGATATTTATATATAAATAAAATATGTCTATCGTTCGAATTGTGTGTGTGTGTGTGTGTGTGTGTGTGTGTCAATTTGTCGAGTAAAATCGAAACGAAACAAAAGATTGCAATTGCATCATGTGCAGGCGAATTTCTCATAAATTATCATCACTAAACAGATATTGGGCATGACATGAAGTAAATATGGCGCTAGACCCTTATAAAAACCAGGCATTCGCTCATACCTCCATGTCTGTTTGACGCAATCCCATGTGCCCGCATAAGTATGATGATGGTCTTGCATACGCGCCCTCACCACCTGATATGGATATGTTACAGCAGCTGCAATCAATTTTGATATCGCTGCGAATGCTAAATACTCCATCGTTCCCTGGTGTTGGCATTAGAATGGGGAAAATATGTTAGTACTTTTTTTTTATTAGAAGAAATAGGATCATTAGCTGAGCCCAAGGAATGGAATCATATCTCAATGGATGAAAAATATCTTTCGAATGAATTGGACGAACATTTAGAGAAATAAAAGCAACAAATTTCCAATATAAGAATCGAGTCAATTGCATTTTTAAATGTAGAACATCGCAAAAATGAATTGGTTCCATCGATTTGCTCTTTGCTTTGGATTTTCGTTGCATTTCCTCTGAGTGTTCTTCAAATTCATATGAAAATGTCAATTCTTCATTAAATTCCCATCGATTCTTACCATTTTCGTATCAATTGGAACGTTTCGATACTGATTGAATTTGTTTTTCATTTCCTCGTACGTCATAAATTGAATAGCACCATGACTAACGCCGAACATGCCAGGAATGAAACCCTGTGTGAAAACAAAAATGCACCGGTATTATTACATGTGGATTATTATTAAAACGGTAATTCTCGTTCATTTTGCATTGAACCGATTTAAATTGTTTTGTTTGTACAAACCCGATACAGTCCCCGAATGCCTTCGTGACGATAGATTTTGGTCAATGCATCGATCATTCCCTTGTACCGTGTTTGTGGTGAACCATCGCTTTCTCGGCCGTACTGCAGACACAGACGTGTTTTTACCACCCAAATTGGATTTGTCATCACCAGCGTTAAGACGCCCGCCTCAGCCGCCGCCATCATATGCATCGTTGGACCCAGCGGTGTCGTTGTATTACCTTTTTGTATCCAAGTTTTGATGGAGTTATAACTAGATGTTTGTTGGATGGAATAGTTGATTAAGTTTTTGTTTTTTGCATTGAATTGAACGAATCAATTTGAATTATTTCTCAATTATTTGATCATTTCATTATTCTATATTATAAATTTTATACGAAAACATGAATCAAATGATTCAACTAAATATTCAAGTCAATAGTTTTGGCTCAAGACAAAACTGAACAAACAAAAATGATTGCGAAAAATGTGCCAAATGATTGTAATTCTTACAATAGAAAGTAAAAACCCCATGCGCTGCCCGAGCCGCACACATTCGGTGTGACACCTTTGTAAAGTCCACTCAGACCCTCCTGTCGAAAAATGGTGATAAAAGCACTAGCAAGGCCACGATATTGCGGTATTGTTGTGGTTCGACCATCGTTCACTGGAAATTTTGACAAAAACAGACAATTCAATTATTTTAACAAGATTTAAATATTTAACACTGTTTTAATGAATAGTGAACAATTTTATAATGTTTCTACAACTTATCTAAACACTATCACAACTGTCAGAGTTTGAAATTCATTCTAACAGTAGGTTTAGACATTTTTTTAACAAAGAAAATTGCTTTTAGAAAATTTTATTACAGGAAAGACCTAAAATTCATTCAAATCAATGGAAAATATCACACACAATGGCAAATAAATTCGCATAAAAAATTTCACACCAAATGTTGCCTCAAAAAATGAAGGAAAAAGAGTGTTTTCTCATCTATGTGAGTTTATGGGTGTCATTGGTATGAAAAGTGGAAAAAAAGTCACCTACCAGCAAATCGAATTTTGATCAAATCCAGTGGATGCAAGATGAGTGTGGATGTAACGCCACCGGAGAAACCAGCAACCATGTGCTCGTATCGAATGTGGGAAAAAACGTTAGTTTTCCGCGTTGTACCGTTCGTTTTCATTGCAGCCATTTTCTGATGTATTTTCCACTGATTTTGCAATCAGCATTTGATTTTTGTAATAAAATCGAATTGTAAATTTCTCTATAAATAAATTTCTCTCGCCTCTCGTTTCCGTTTAGTTCACAAAACTCGAATGGGATTTATCGTGTTGATTTCCGTCGAATTTTCCTTTTTTGAATATCACAATAAGTTTACGCGGCAAAAGAAATAAAATTCTTTCTTTATTTCAATAAATTTGGTTTTGACTTTGTGTATGTGATGATTATCGATTCATTTATGATATAGTTTTTTCTAAATCGTCCACTTTACTACTCACTATCAATTCACTGTATGATTTGAGCACTAACAACTCGACGGCATCCACATTGATGCAAACCGAATTTGAATTTAGTTCCGGCATTATATCATTTGAAAGTGTTTTCAAATCCTCGGCACACAAAAAATTCGAATAAAGAAAACTCAGTGCGTATTCGTTTGAATTGCGAGCAAGTAGAACACTGCTTCGATAGTGTGAATTGTATGGTGCATGCGATGCTATGCAAACAACACAGTGAATGACTTCGACCAGCTGACTGTTTGTCCACTTGAACTGTGAATGCCCATTAACTGTCTGATTTCACGGCAAAAACACTACTTTGCTATGTTTGGCGGCACATCAATTGCTGCATCCTTTCGTGAATTCTGTTTTTGGATTTTATAATTTTTCCAACGTTTTCCAACCTTGTCACAATTATTCAATGGAACATTGTTCAATGCACTTCCTTGATGAATCACACACGGGGCTGGCGAAAGTCAAATATAAATTTTTTTTTTCGCACTTTAGATGACGCAAGATACACCAAATATTGCTTTACACTTTTGAAATCTTATCAAATCGTTCTTCTCATTTGATTTTTTTACACACATACACAACACTTTCTAAACTTTATTGCTTGCAACAAACGGGCTTTGGGTTCGACGGTATGGATACGATGAAGAGAAACAAATTTGTGGGAAATTCCAAATGTTCCGAATTGTTGAAGTTCGAACAAATTTTATGCAATAATTTTGAAAACTAGTCAACATGCATGTGAAACAACACAATAGATGTAGAAAAATCTCATGTGCGTTTCACATTACACACACACACACAAATGCGAGCCAGCCAGCCTGATTCGAAACGTCAAACATCCAAATGACACACGCTCATCTGGTAATCGTCCGTTGATTACATATCGCATGTCAATAGATGGCGCCAGCTTATTTATTTTCACAAATGGTCGATAATCGTTTTGAACACCAAAACAAACGAGGCATCAATGAAGCTCAACTTTTGAATTGCAAGAGATCGTTTTTTTGAATTGATTTTTGTTCAAGTTCTTTTTTGCCGTATTTTTAATGAAAAAAAAACTGATTTTCTCGACGCTCAAAACCTGTTTTTTCTCGACATTTTTAGACTTTGTCTCGTACATCATTCCGCTTGAATCTATTTTACCTATGAAATTCTGTTGAATTTGATCATTCTAACGATAATCATGCCGAATCAACTCGGCTCTCAATCGAAGCTGTTTTTGAAGAATCATTTCTTTTCATGCATTTTTGATCAATTAAAACCGACTTTGCCTATAAAATAATTCCAACATGACTTCAACTTAAAATTGTATTTTCAATTTACTGTGATTTACGGAACTATGGTTGAGATTGAACACATGAGCATCGACAAAAGTGGTCGAGGCGGCATTATAGTATATTTGCAAGTGAGCATGGATTCTATTTATGGTCTAGATCTGTTCTCATGTACATGCCGTTGTATCGTACCAGCCAGCATGGTGTTGTCGAAATTCACGCGATCACCGGCAAAAAAAAATGTTTATCTGGGTATCAAATTTATTGTCATTGCCCGACCGGTATAGACACAAAATTACGAAGCGATGCAAAAACTTGGAAAGCATGGCTAGAAGAGACTGTCGAATATGGAATTAAATCGTACGTAAAAAATGCATGCAATGCATCAATCGTACGTGAAATTGTTTATATTATTGCAAATATCTCGAATGAAATCTCTTTTTGTTTTTCTTTCTTTCTGTCTCATTCTGTCACTCCTGCATTAAATGCGAAAAAGAAGCTGACAGAAATCTACTTTAATGATTTCAACAAACTCATAGACATACAACGCTCACCCATTCGAACGAATTGCATTTTTTCGTTCCAATAAGAAAATTGCATTTGACATATTTACATTACCAGCGGTAAAAAATTATCTCGAGATATCTATCGAATGTTCTATAGCCAAAACGCATATCAATTGCACACACAAACAAAATGCGGTTTCACATGAAAAAAAAAAA